TTTTTTTTTTGGTTGCAGCCATCATCGTTGTTTGGCGGGTCCGGGCTGGGGATTCGAACCCGACAGCTTAGGTGTACGTGAGCTATAGGCGCCGAGCCACATCCTCAGACTCTTACATTAGTATACAGTTGGGAAAAACATCAAACACAGAGCCTATTTTATGATAAAATGTTGAATATCTCATTTATTGAATACTATACTGAAAATGAAAAACAGAATGGTTGTGTGAGTACTCAAAAGTATGGTTTCCACTGGATATAAATTGCTTCATGCCATCTTTAAGTTGAACCATCCTCAGGGACCATTTGTAAATGTATGGTAATGTAAGTTGTTAGTTTTTATTAATCATGAATAATGAGGTAAAGTAATTTGAGGATAAAAAACTATAAGAGGTAGCCAGATGTGGTGGTATTCATGATACTGTGTTTCCCCAAAAATAAGACCTACCCAAAAAATAAGCCCTAGCAGAATTTCTATGCCTTTGTTAAATATAAGCCCTACCCCATAATAAGACATAGTGATGGGCTTGGCTGTACAGCGCATCTGCATAGCCACACCATGCATTTCTGCGCGGAGAGGAAGACATCCCCTGAAAATAAGCCCTAGTATATCTTCTTGAGAAAAAATAAATATAAGACAGGGTGTTATTTTCAGGGAAACATGGTAGTCCCAGCTACTGGGGAGACTGAGGCAGGAGGATTGCTTGAGGCCACAGTGTACTATGATTGTACCTGTAAATAGCTACTGCATTTCAGTCTGGGCAACATAGTGAGAACCTGTCTCTGAAAAAAAATTATCAAAGGCTAAAATAAAATTATGTAATTATCTTCTTTTTCATATGAATATTAATTTTAAGACCAAAGTGAGTTGGTTTTTTTTTTTTTTTTTTTTTTTTTGGCTGGGGCTGGGTTTGAACCCGCCACCTCCAGCATATGGAGCCAGCGCCTTACCCTTTTGAGCCACAGACGCCACCCCAAAGTGAGATTCTTTGACATCTTCTAATGGTGTCTCTTATGCTTAGGAAGTTCTTTTTGTTTTGGTTTTGTTTTGTTTTGTTTTGAGACAGCGCCTCAGGCTGTCCCCCTGGGTAGAGTGCCGTGGCATAGCTCACAGCAACCTCCAACTCCTGGGCTCAAGCGAGTCTTCTGCCTCTGCCTCCCAAGTTGCTGGTACCACAGGTGCCTGCCACAACACCTGGCTATTTTTTTTCTTTTTTTGGTTGCAGCCATCATTGTTGTTCACGGGCCCGGGCTGGATTTGAACCCGCCATCTTAGGTGTATGTGGCTGGCGCCTTAGCCACTTGAGCCACAGGTGCTGAGCCAGGAAGTTCTTTTTGTTTAACCATTATCTTTCATTATCTTAATCCCTTCTTGAGTTTGTATTTGTAGCTCAGTAATCAGGACTGATTTCCTGCAGAATTCTTTTTAGGCTTCTCAGATAAGCATTAAAAGGATTAATAGCCTCTTTAGTATAGTTCTTCATTGTATTGAGCCATGACATACTAGCAGTTTTTAGAATCTGGAAATGATTTAGAATTGGTATGTAGTTGCTGTGTCATAGATTGGTCTAATTGTGACATGTTAAATGTGTATTTCTGTAACATTTAAAACTACATAGACTGGTTCAAATGTTGAAACAGATTTCCAATAATTACCACATAATTTCTTGAGTTTCTTTCATTAAGGATAAAAGCATACTATAAGAGAAAAGCTTCTTGGAGTTTTAGATACTAGGAAATAGGTATAATTAGGTGGCCCCATCTTGTTGGTGTAAAAAAGTGGTCTACAGAATAAAATGTAAATCTGTGTAATTTTGACGTCTTTTTCATAGTTCTTATTTTTTATTCAGAATCGAAAGCTGTTTAGTTGAGAAGTTTTGTTACCTTAATTCAATGTCTCTTCTGTTTCTGCAAGAGTGGGGATATATACTAGTCTTAAAGAAAATTTTCTCTGTTGAATCAGGCTTCTTACTGTTCACTAGACTTTAAAAAATGTTTGAAGATTGTGAATGTACTACTTAAATGACAGATTTCCCATTTTTCTTATATTTAGGAGGGTACTGGTCCTCGTGTTATTTCTGCATTTGTGGAGATTATTTTTGATAATTCAGACAACCGGTTACCAGTAAGTATCTTTCTTTTTAATTTTTTTGGTAATGATTTTGAGAATTTTACTGATGTAGCTAATTATTTTCATACTTTGAAACATAGCTCTAGTTAAGCTTTTATAATTTTTAGCACATGCTAAAATAATTATATAGTTTACATACTTATTTTGTCACGTCATGTAGTTGAATGTTTTTGTTGAATGAGAATGTACTGTCTATTTTGAAAAAACATCTTTGTCAGGAATATTGAGTATTTATGGCATTATCTTTAGTAAGATAATTGAAATTTCAAAATAAATAGTTATGAACAAGGACTTCAAAAATGACCAGAACTAAAAATGTTCTACTTTACTATTAAATTAACTTTGGGCTTTTACATTTTTTCTTAGATCGATAAAGAGGAAGTTTCACTTCGAAGAGTTATTGGTGCCAAAAAGGATCAGTATTTCTTAGACAAGAAGATGGTCACGTAAGCATTTTTCTTTAAATTTACATTTCTCTACAAATGAATAAAAATCTTTTATTTGCCTCGTATATGAGATATACTTGCCTCATATTCTACAAATCAATACTTAGAGCATAAGTGTAAGAATCATAAGGTTCTCTGAGACTGATAAAACAAGGTTTAATTGCTGGTCTCTTCTCCCTAATGCTTCTTAGCCTAGGAGCTCTCATTCTTTGCTTATTGTTGGGTGTTTTTTTTTTTTTTGAGACAGAGCCTCAAGCTGTCCCCCTGGGTAGAGTGCCATGGCATTACAGCTCATAGCAACCTCCAACTCCTGGGCTCAAGCGAGTCTCCTGCCTCCGCCTCCCAAGTAGCTGGGACCACAGGCGCCCGCCACAGCGCCTGGCTATTTTTTGGTTGCAGCCGTCATTGTTGTTTGGCGGGTCCAGGCTGGGGATTTGAACCTGCCACCTTAGGTGTACATGGCTGGCGCCTTAGCCGGCTGAGCTATAGGCACCGAGCCTATTGTTGGGTGTTTTAAAAGTATTTATCTGAAAAAATAATTTTAATGTTTATCAACAGGAAAAATGATGTGATGAACCTCCTTGAAAGTGCTGGTTTTTCTCGAAGCAATCCTTATTATATTGTTAAACAAGGAAAGGTAAGAAACAATCGTATGTCCATTTTATTTTTTCTTGTTTGTTTTACAGAATTTGTTTTCTAAGGAATTCTTTATTTGAATGATGAATTAATTTGATTTACTGATTCTGATAGTTACACTGAAGCAAGAGTAGACTTACTGTCTTTTTTTTTTTTTTTTTGAGACAGTCTCAAGCTGCTGCACTGGGAGTGCTGTGACGTCACAGCTCACAGCAACCTCCAACTTATGGGCTTAATCGATTCTCTTGCCTCAGCCTCCCAAATAGCTGGGACTACAGGCACCTGCCACAATGCCCATTTATTTTTTTATTTTTATTTTTTTTGGTTGCAGTTGTCATTGTTGTTTAGTAGACCAGGGCTGGGTTCGAACCCACCACCCTAGGTGTATGTGGCTGGTGCCCTTGCCAACTGAGACAGGTGCCACCCTATCTTTTGTCTTTATTGATTTATGTTATATTGAAGTTTATTATCTTTTACTTGGTTACAAAGTACTGAATAGATCTGTTGCATACTGGGACAGAAGTATTTTAGTAGATTAAGTAAATCTCGTTTTCTTAGTTAATTGTATTACAGAGGTGCAGCATATTGGAAGACATTTGGCTTATAGAAGTTGTAGTGCTCACACACAAAAATATTGTAGAAATTCTATAAAAATGACATTTTAAAAAATTGCTTTCTAAAGGTAATATTGTATATTACTCAGTTTATCACAATTAAAATATGAAAAGCTTGTATTACCAGAAATCTACCATAATGATACATATTTTTTCCCTTATAGAGATTGTATTTTTTCTTATCTTTTAGTAGCTAAACTATAAACTTTAGCTGATTGTTTTGCTGTCTGCTAATACTATCAATTATAACTAAGATAATTTCTTATTCTCATAACTTAATCTGTAATATCCTAATAGTTTTGGCATAGCGTGTCTTTTGGACTAGGGGAAAATTCTTGAAGATATCCATTAGTTACTATAGTTTATATGTGTACTAGAAGTTTTTTGAGATAGGTATTGGAAAGTTAGCATTCGGAAGAAGTGATTACAAGAATATGGAGGTTCAGGTTTGGAAAATGTACTAGAACAAGTTTTCAAAAAGGGAATCTTCACTATTTGTGGGAGGAAAATTTCTTAAAACAGGTTAATTAGAAAACCTGAGTCCCCTTTTCCCTCCTAAACACGGTCCCTGGTCCCTTTTACTTCATTTTAGTGTGTGCCCATCATTTTAGATAAGCCACCCATAACTATCTTATATAAAAACATTGCCTTCCCTCCAACCCTATACTCTTTATTTCCGTAATCTATTTTATTTTTCTTCATGACACTTAAATTATACTGTTTTGATATGCTTATTTTCTGTCTTTCCCACTAGAATGTAAGCTCCATGAGGGCAGGACCTTCTCTGCTTTGTTCTTTGCCCCTTTCCCAGTGCCCAGCAGAGTGGCATATATGTTGTAGCCATTCGATAAATAATTTTTAAGTGAGTAAATCAAACGAATGAATGAACATGTTTTATTAGGGTATCCAATAATGATAATCTGATTTTAAAAGTATATTGGAAGTGTGCATAGGTTATATGTAAATATTGTGCCATTTTATATAAGGAAATTGAGCATCTTGGATTTTGGTGTCCTCAGGGGGTTCTGGAACCAATTCCCCATGGATACTGAGGGATAGTTGTACTTACAGCTTTAAAAAAATGTATCATCAGTTATGTGTTTCTCTTGTAAAAATAACTTGTTCTTTGGTAATGGAGCTTCTCTTTTATATATTACCAAATTAACTAAGACAAAATAGTGGTATTGGCTATTCTTTCATTTATTAATGTTACCATAAAGGAGATGTATGAATACATCAATTTGAATTGGATTTTATTTGCAAGTTTCATTTGGGTAAACATGATATGGATATGTAGGTATATGTCGTTATATAAGTTACATTAGCCAAATCAAATTTAAATGAAAATTAAAATTTATCATGTGAATACAGATTGAGCATCCTTAATCCAAAAATCCAAAATTCAGGTACTCCAAAATCCAAAACTTTGAGTGCTGACATAACAATAAAGTGAAATGCTCACTGGAGCATCATTTCAGATTTTTGGGTTCGGGTTGCTCAGCCAGTAAGTATAAATGCAATTTTTTTTTTTTTTAAGAGACAGAGTCTCACTTTATTACCCTGGGTAGAGTGCCTTGGTGTCACAGCTCACAGTAACCTCCAACTCATGGGCTTAGGTGATTCTCTTTGGCTTCAGCCTCCTGAGTAGCTGGGACTACAGGTGCCCTCCACAACGCCTGGCTATTTTTTTCTTGCAGTTTGGCCTGGGTTGGGTTTGAACCCACCACCCTCGGTATATGGGGCGAGTGCCTTACCTGCTGAGCCATAGCTACTGCCCATAAACGCAAATATTAAAAAGATCTGTCAAACCAGTAAAGATAGTATATGTTTAAAGAAAAGAGAAAGAAAGAAAAGAAAAAGCTGAAAGTTCCAAGGGTGTCCCAACTGTGGCTCATGGCTTGCAATGAATACGTATCTGTGGTGGCAGATAGCGTGAAAATTATGCACGGACCTTTTCATTGCTCATCAGCTTTAGTTAGTATTTGTGTACTTAATGCATGGCCCACAACAAGTCTTAGACAAGCATTCATAGCCATGGGCTGAGGTTGATTGCTCCTATGTGTAACACTTCTGCTTTCCAGGCATTTAGGGTAAGATATACTCAACCTATACATGAATTAAAAATTCTCAGGGTAGAGCAGTCCATAGTTAAGTGATGATAATTTTTCTAAAATTTTTAGATTAACCAGATGGCAACAGCACCAGATTCTCAGAGACTAAAGCTATTGAGAGAAGTAGCTGGTACTAGAGTATATGATGAAAGAAAGGAAGAAAGCATCTCCTTAATGAAAGAAACAGGTAAAATAAATGTGATTCTGTCTTTTTTTTTTTTTTTTTGGAGACAGTCTCAAGGTGTCGTCTTGGATAGAGTGGTGTGACATCATAGCTCACAGCAACCTCCAACTCTTGGGCTTAAGTGATTCTCTTGCCTCACCCTCTCAAGTAGCTGGGACTACAGGTGCCTGCCACAACACCCGGCTATTTTTTTGTCTCAGTTGTTGTTGTTTTAGCTGGTCGAGCTGTGTTCAAACCTGCCAGCCTTGGTGTATGTGTCTGGCACACTACTCACTGAGCTATGTGCCCCGCCCATTGATTTATGGATTCTTTTTGTTGCAAATCACTTTTTCATTGTGTTAAAATTATAAAAGGAGTTATGTCTGTTATCAGAAATATATTGTATGACAGTTTGACTATGTACTGAATGGACAGAAAATTAGTTTGAGACAATTTAAGGTTTGCAATTTCT